GTATAAGTATCGAGTTAATTAAAATAATTTATACTATAAAGTCATTTTGTACTAGCATATTGAGATTAACTAGTAAATGTAGTTAAATGCTATACGAGGAGTGGGTCATCATTATCCTTCAATATTGCCTCCTGGTGTATTGCCACTCTCTCTGGAGGATTTAAAGGAAGAGGAGGATGAGGTAGTTGAGGTTGTTGTAAGTGAAGGATTAGGTGCTCTTGAGTCTCTGGCTTCTAACTCATTGAGGAGAGCATTAGCTTCATCCAGTGTGTCCTGTGTGTGTTTATAAGTGGAGATAGAAAAATTGGTCATAATTTTTTGTTTTAACATGTAATCATGAATGAGCTCAAACTTTCAACGCAACATAAGTACATGTATATGCATCATGTAATGTAATAAAAATGTGGAATTCTCTCCTGTTTATTTTTGGTGAAATTTGGCCGATGATCCTGTGCTATAGTACAGGGACTTTGGCCCGGTTTTTAAGTAACTTTAAAAATTCATAAAAAATCTAGTTTTGATCGGAATCTGTTCAAACTTTTTATGCAACATAAGTACATGTATATACATCATATAATATAATAAAAATGGGGATTTATCTCCTTTTAATTTTTGGTGAAATTTGGCCGGTGACCCTGTACTATAGTAGAGGAACTTTGGCCCAATTTTGGTCGATTAGATGTAACTAATGTAACTCTCCTCTCTCTCTCTCTCATTATCAACCTGAGCACTAATTGTCCTTTGGAATATTTTGCTAGTCGAGGATTCATTAGAGAATGAGAAAGCAGACGCATGAGACCAAGAGTGATCATTAATCTATAGAGACATTAGACCATATTAAACACCTTCCTTATAAGGGCGCCTGCTACAATTAGACTCACTTTCCTCCGCAACCACGAGACTGCCGTCTGTAATTGCTCTCCTTGAGCAAGAATAAAATCTCTGGCCTTGAAACACCTACATGTACACACCAAGAAACATCATGTATCAGTATCATAACATGACATCATGATTCTTAAAGAATTTTAATTTGTGGTTAAGATAAACCCACAACAATCTACACTGTATTTGCTTGTCACCATGATGGTACATATCTCTTCTCTCTCTCTCCATCCCTCTTTCCCTCCCTCCCTCTCTCCTTCTCTTTCTCCCTCTTTTGTTCCCCTCTATATATCTCAGTTTCTTACCTGTTTGCTAATCCTACGATGAACTTTATCCCCTGGTAAATTCTCTTAGATTCTGAGCTAGTTTGAATTGTCTCTAAATATGACAAAATAAAACATTTTTGATGCACATACAACAAAGAAGCTCTCATCCATTTGTGACTAAACCGTATCTCATTATTATGTTATAGACATACAACAAGGATAAAACAAGCGTAACAGTGTAAAAAATATTCCTATAATTGATTTCACCACCTTGCAACAATAACTGGATTCTATTAAGACTTATAGAGGCTCTCTCTACCTTATAATGCTTCTAGAGAAGTCTTTAGACAGTATCTATATGTTGTCTTGCTATTAGATAGATAGCTCTTCACTTTGTCCCATGTTTAAGCCGCCATTTTGTTTGCCGTGACCACACCCACTACGTAAAGGAGCGTGGGCGGGTGGTTGCTAAGGCTTATGAATTTTGTTATTTCTCCAATACAACGTGTATAGAAGAAATGTAAGTGTGGACATACAAATATATATATATACAAACATCGCACGTGGGTGAAATCAATTATAGGAACGACCTGGGGGCTACGCCCCCAGGTCGTTAAAAATAGTAGAGACAAAACACAGGATTGGTAATTAAGAAATATATTTTAGACTTGAGTAGACACCAATCAAAGTGTATGCATAGCAAATGAAAGAGGTATGCACATGTACATGTATAATATCATGATTGATAGATAATATGTTACAATTGAAGCGTGTCATTGATATATACATGTATATCAGTAGGGCAGACATGAATGTACAGTGTAGCTACTACATGAATATGCAGTTTTACTGTGACAAGGATACAGGAAACAGTCAAAAGCCACACAAGTAGTATGTATACAGTAATTAAAGTGTACAAATGTTGACATCAACTAAATGACTTACTAAATATTGACAGTTCAGGTTTGTATTTGCCGCCAGCTAGTGTAAACTGAATCCTTTTACTTTGTAAGGAGTCTTCAATTAGCTAGAGTAATAGTAATGAAGCAGTCTAAGACTAGTAACAACAATATACTGTGTACTATCATAGTGGGGGGATTTAGTGGGAATTAATTATTAGCAATAAATATATTCGAAAGAGTACATAATACATGCATAATAGGTATAATAGGGTTTAAGTGACTGACAATTCTGTTATCTATACAGTGGTGACATGAAGAGAATGGAATTTAATAAAGCTCATGCACAAAATAAATGTAGACTAGACTTTAACTACGAACATCTGTACAATACCAACAGTTAATTAGTTTAGCTGTAATTGCATTTTTGATGTCTCTATAGCATTCATTAGCCCATGAGCATGTGATAAGCATATGCAACTGGAAATAATTAAGTAATACTATTATCTACATCATACCAGAACTTCAGTTAGAGCCTTGAAATAGGATTTGAGCTCATTAGGAGGCACTGTAGAAATGTTATTCTGAAGAGAAAGAGAGGGGGGAGGGAGTGAGAGAGAGAGGGGGGATAAAAGGGAGTAATAAGATCAATTACTAATCCCTAATTTGTTTTCTCTCCTTTCTAAGGAGGAGTAGATGGGGGAATAAACAGAACAATGTGTAGTGACAGAATAGAATAATAATACAATAGAATATAATATTATATATACAATAGAATATAATATTATATATACATTGTATATATTCAATAGAATATATACAATGAACAATAGACCCATACTTGTAATTCCTCTATGATGCAAGCAGAGAAGGACTGGTTGCAATAGCAACAGTAACAAATCATGTGAGATATGGCGTCAGCCGTGGACGCATCACAATCTCTAAGAGTGGAGCAACACTGAAATAGAAGAGACAGTAATAAAAGAATAAAGCAAGAATCTGGACATAAAATGCACTGAAGAACATGTATATGCATCAGAAAATGTAATAAAATTGAGGAATGCCCTCTCAAAATTTAACAACTGTATCTTAATAATAGCAAGGCTGCAAAAGTCGTGGCAGCCATTTTGTTTGGGGGTGAATCCTACTTAGTAACGCTACTGCGTTACTAATATATTCACTATATTTGAATACGATATGAGCTGTATATAATATCACGAGTATACTCTTGATATTAAAAACTACATGTAGCATTTGTGCATCATTTACTTCTTGAATGAAAGCGCGGCTCATTTCAACAGAGAAGAGGATCTGGTGCATGCCAGGTGACGGGTTTTGGAGGCTCTCTATGTCACTGGGGATCATGTAAGGATTGACGGAATGAATCTCCCTGGAATCAGCTAATGTACAGTGTGTGTGTGTGTGTGTGTGTGTGTGTGTGTAAGTGAGAGAGAAAGATCATACATTTGAAGTGTTTTTCTTTAATATTTTCTTTATTAGCAAATCAATAAAAATTTTTTATTGCTAAAATTAGCAAAAAAGAATCAAAAAAGGATGTAAGACACATTAAGCTATTGGAGACTACCGTACAAGATGATTTATTGGCGAGGAATTAATATTAGCGATTGGCGGTTCTATGAAGAAATCACCAATATAAAATTCACCAAATTGTTTCAATCTGAGCATGCTCAATGGCATGTGACACAAAATCGCCAATATAAAATTCGCCAATTATTTTCCACAGGCAAATTCATCAAATATTACTCCCACCAATGAATTATCTTGTATGGTATATCCATGTGTGGGTTGGGTTGGGTTGGGTTTATACATACAAATGCAGGTGCGTGTACACACAGACATACTTCATAAAC